AATTCTCTTTTAAAAGTCTTTTAGAATTCAGCTGCAAATCTATCAGGTGCTGGGCATTTCTGGAAAGGGAGGTTTGTTACTGTCAATGCAGTTTCATTGCTTGTGAAAGGCCTGTTTATTTCATTTATGGGATTTAATTTATTTTTCATATATTATTGTTATTGCAGAGTTGATATGCAGAGGGGTTACAGGTACATGAGGAATGAGTACAATTCTTTTTGAATCTTGTCTGTACTTTCATCACTCTCTCCCTGTCTTTCCTGCCCATCCCCACCCACAATATATCCAGTTCATTTTCTACATAGATTCTAGTGAATATCAGTTGAAATGGCTCACTGTGTCCCTCTCTTTCTCTGATTCCCATTGCCTTCTCAAATCCGATAAACTTATACAGAAGAAAATGGATTCTGAAATCAGAAACTGTGATCACAAGGAATAAACCAGAGCAGAAACAAATGACAGTCAAAAGTAATGTTTCCTGAAGTTATGAACACACTTCTATATGTATCAATCGAATATATTTCTTCCTCTGAGAAGTCTATCTTAAGGTCTTTGGCCCTGTTATTGATTGGGTTGTTGAGTTGGGGAGTTTCATTGTGTGGAATTAACTTTTTTTTGTGTGTGGTATTAATTTTTGAGACCTACGTATATGTTAGATAGGACCCCTTTATCTGATATATAGCGAGTCAAGATTTTTCTCCCATTCTGTGTGATACTCAATTATCTTCCTAGCTATGTCCCTTGCTATTCAGAATCTCTTCGGTTTAACACATTCCCATTTATCCAGTCTTTCTTTGATTTGTTGTGATTCTGGATCTTTGTTTAGAATGTTTTACCCTGTGGCTAGAAGGATTACACAATGTCTGGCCTCACATTGAAGTATTTGATCCATTTAGAGTTCACTCTGGTGCAATGTGATATATGGTTATAAAGCCTCTGTTTTCTTCATGTAGATAGCTAATTTTGCCATCACTTTGTGTGAAAGAGGCTAGCTTTCTTGGAAGCTGTGTTTCTTGGTCCATTATCAAATATTAGGTGGCTATATTTTTGAGAGATTGTTTCTTTGTCTTCAGGTCTGTTTGATTTGGCTTCTGGCCTATTTCTGTGCCAACACCAAGATTCAATTTTGGAACTGATCTTCCTCCAGTTAAGGATTTTATTTTTGCTACTCTAGATCTTCAATTATTCCATATGAATTTTTGGTTTGATTTCTGAATTTCTTGGAAGAAAGTTACTGGAAGTTTGATGGGTATTGCATTGGATTTGTAGATTGCCCTGAACAGAATTTCTATTTTCATGATGTTAATTCTTCCCCACTAGGAGCATGGGATGTTTTCCTATATCCTAAGTCAGCTTCAATATCTTCATAAGAGTTTTAAACATTTTCACAATATAGATCCTTCCCATCTTTGGTTAAGTTAATTCTTATGAATTTTTTTAAGACGTACAAATGGCATTGCTTTCTTGATTTCAGTATCACTCTTCTCACTGTTGCCACACAGGAAGGCTACTCATTTCAGTGGTTTGATTTCATACCTTGAGTTTGTGGAACATAAAGTGCATTTCTATTTGAAGTACTTATAAATTCCTTGTGAATCCTTCTAGTCCTGGGCTTTTCATGAATGGGAGGCCTTTAGGCCATTTCAATTGCTTTCATTGTTATTGGTATTTGGACCACCACCTGGAACTGGTCCTCCAAGAAAGGAGTCTCCTATGAGGAACTCACAGATTCCAAAGACAGTTTTGAGTTGGCCAGAAGGAGTCTTCTTGAGGGGCCTCTGTGTCTGGATGTAGCAGGCTCATTCTCCTCTTCCTGTTTCCTCTTACGTGTGGTGTCTCTCCTCCTTTGTGTTGTGTGACAGCAGCAGCAGCCTCTCCATGGGGTCCCCAAGCTGATTGAGATGTCTGCTGTGCGTTCCCTCCTTGTGTTTCTAGGGTTAATGCTTTTTGGTGTGATTTCTTCATAATCACACTGTTCTCTGTTTAAGTTTTGACCGGTGGCACTTCAGGGTGTGAACAGTGGGCCTAGGTTGTAGCCACTCAGCAGGTGTCTGCATGCTGTCTTGCTGTATCCTGCTCCTGTGTTTCTGTTGTGACATTTCTTCTGTATTTGAATGTGTCTCTATTTAACTTTTGATTGGTGGGGATATCTTGAGGTGAAGTGGATGCAGGGAATCTAAATAGCTATTTGGCAGGCACATCTAAGGAGTTTACATGTGATGTTGCCATGATTTTCCTGGAAGTGTCAGTTTTGCCTATGAGATGCACCATCAAGGTATTGACTTCAGATTTTTCTAATTGGTTGATGCAAGCACTTACAGACATGGACTGTCCTCTGTGAACTGCCTTTGTTGTGGGTCAATGGAGTTGATATTTTATGTTTTCTCACATTGAATCTCAGAAATGATTAAATTTTATCTCACTCTTCAAAGATTTCCTGAAGTCTCATCAATGAATTGCTCAGTTTCCATGAGTTTGAGTATTTTCTTTGATTCATTTCCTGCTGTACTCAACTTTTGTTGTGTTCACAGGAATCAGGGTACACACTCTTGTATATTTTTCTTGATTATGGTGGTTTCTGTTTTGTGATCTGAAAAACTTCCTTTAGTATTTCATGAAGAAAGGGTCTACTGGAGATACATTCTCTTAACTGTGCTTTATCCTTTTTTATTTCCACAGGACAGCTTTGATAGGTGCAATACTCTTGGATAATTTAGATTTTTTATCTCCAGTAATGCAATGATTTCTTGCCATGTTCTCTTGACTTATATGAACTCTACTGAGGATTCAGCTGTTATAGAAATGGGTGCCCACCTATATGATAGAGGTCTCATTTCTGTTCTTCTTTATAGACTCACCCCTGAATATGTATTTTGCTCATGTGATCTTCATGTTAAGACAGCTGGCTGTAGATGTCATGGTCAGAATTTGATTATCCTTTCATTTTCAGTACTATTACTTTGTATGTATCTCTATTTTTGCTTTTTTGAAAATACTCTCATTAACTTTTTTGTATATTTTTATTGTAAAGATAATGTACAGAGGGGTTACAGTTACATGAGCAAGGTAATGAGTCCATTTCCTATCAAGCATTGTTACCCCCCTCTCTGTTTTAGCCCTAAGATTCATTTTCTTCCCACTTCCCCAACTCTTCCCTCCTCCTCAGCACTTGTACAGTTCATTTTAGGGTCTTGTACATCTCGTTGTTACAATGGGTCAACCTGTATCCTTATTTCAGCATTTTGTTATTTCCCTTCCCCTTCCCAAATGTATATACATTTGTTATTCCCCTTGTATATACAAGATTCAGGACACCAAAATCAAATACAGTGACAACAGGGGAGATACCATGGAGGAATAACATACATAGAACAAAAAAATCACATACTTCATGATAAGTACATTAAAAAGACCCAGAAGAAAGATAAAATCTCTTGTGTCTCTATCTTGTGGTTTATTTCGCTTAGTATCACCTTATATGGTCATATTTTTTAACCTATTCTGTTTGTCCTAGACATATACTAGCTATTGTAGATAAGGGAAACCATGAATCTATGTTTCTTTGGGTCTTTCTTACTTCACTTAATGTAATTTTTTCTAAGTCTTTCCATTTCGTAAAAATTGAGGCTGTTTCATTCTTTCTGACAGAGGCATAAAATTCCATTATATGTATATGTGTATATACATACATGCATGTATATATGTATGCATTTTTTGATCCGTTCATCTACTGAGGGACATCTCAGTTGGTTCCATACCTTTACTATGGTGAATAATGCCGTGATAAACATACTTGTCCTAGTAGCTTTAGTATAGCCTTGCTTGTGACCATTTGGGTAGATGCCTAAAAGTGGGATTGCTGATCATAGGGGAGCTCAGTCTTCAACATTTGACAAACCTTCTTAACACATCTTAATTCCTACATTTTATTCCTCCATATGTATATGTTGAAGCTCACTATTTTCTTCTGCTTAGATCATGTTAGACTATGACAGGCTTTCTCTGTGATTACTTCACATATACCTACACTATATATTGAACAAGATGATCCTTTCATTAGTATTCCCAATGTGTCTTCATTGTTTCCTTTTAAACAATACCAGTTGATATCATTATTTTAGTTTCGTTACACTATGCCTACTGGCGAGCTTGCATGCAAATACACACAAGCACGCACAGACACTCACACATACCATGGCCCAAGAGACAGGACACAGAGAAAGAAAGAAAGTACTTTGATCATCTTTGTTACTTTGTATTCTTTCCATTATCTCAATCTAAATATATTGGGAAGAGAGTAATAATCAAAGCATTTAACCATGGAGGCTTGGAAATGGGATTTCTAAGCAAAGCTTAGCTACAATTCTCTTCTCCACCCTCATGTCGTGAGTTCCTCCCTCAAAACTGAATCCCTTAAAATTAGATGTATCTTTTTGTATTATTACATAAATAAAAATTAAATCCCAATAGTTCAGCTTTTTTCTGGTTATCAGTAAGAGCTATTCAATATGTTGGTCTGGGAGCAGAGCTTGCTATAGAACCACTCATAAATAACACTTTGCCTCTGAATATTGCAGTTAAATTAAACATTCTTTAGTTAGCCTAACATGTCATATAAACACATAACAGAAACTGGGTGACTGTAAACACCAGAATTATTTTCCACACAGGTGTAGCTAGTTGCCCTAATGTAAAGGCAACACAACCTTTTCTGTCTCAAGGAAATCAAATCCTAGACAACAGCCTTTTGCCGAGGTGCATGAGGTGATAGAGGAAAAAAAAGCTCTCCCTCCACTTAAATAAGAATCTGAATCTCCTTCATGACAAATGCCCTTCATGTCCTTACCTAGATCTTTACACAAACATAAGACACTACATTCACATTCAATTCTAATTGAGGTAATATGTTAACATATTCTTTGACAACGAACCAAGCATTTATGCTATTGAATTCTTAAGTTTTGAAATATTCTTCCTCAATTTGTTTGATCATTATGCAGATTTATGTTCAAGAACTATCAGTTTGTTTTGGCCTTGGCTTTTGCTATTGAGGAGATCAACAACAACCCAGATCTTTTACATAACTTCACTCTGGGATTTAATATCTATGATGTTCAATTCAGAACCTGGACAATGTTTAAGAATCCCTTCACTTGTCTCTTTGGGAAGTACAAGATTCCAAACTACTCCTGCATGAGAGACAGAAAGTCTATAGCAGTACTTACAGGACCATCAAGAATAACATCTGACCAGATTGGGACATTGATGGGCCTCTACAGATTTCCACAGGTGAGGGTGCAAAGTGTGGAAGGATATAATAATGTCTAATTTGGTGGCATTCAGGTGTCAGAAGAGAATAATAGGAAGAGGTTCTGTTTAGGAACCCATCAAGTTTTATATTATCAAATTATAACTACTCAAAGATAGTTCTAAATATATATTTTCACATTGTTTCAAACCTTATCAATAATTTTTGTTAACAAATCAGGAAATGGAAAAGGACTTTGCAGTGTATTGACTGAGCAGGGTACAGATGGCTTCCATCAGTAACCCTAGCTAATCAGGAAACTTGTATCTCCAACTAACCTGCAAAGGGCACAAGGTGAATGTGTGACTCCATTGGTACAGCACAAGTCTTCAGGAAAATTGCCATCGAATGCAAGAAGTCATGACTTTGTGCCCCTGTACTAGTATTCATGTACACACACACACACACACACACACACACACACACACACACACACACGAAAGGTATTATGTTGAATGAAGTAAATCAGGCTCAGAATTAGAAAAGGTAAATATGTCCTGTCCTATGTGAAAGTTCGATCTAAAATATGAACATGTAGTATGAAATAACTAAGGAACGCACAAATAACCACTTACATATATACGTGATCAATCTGACTAAAGTATAGTATACAGAGGGTTGGAAATCCATGGTGTAACTTTTCTGAGCTACTGAGAGTATAAAAATGAAAACCAAATAGGTGAAACATATCTTGTCTGAGATGGGTAGGTGTTAAGGAAAAAATGCAAAGAAATATGGAATGGATTGGTGGTGAAAAGAACCATAATATTCATGGACATGCGTGAAAATGAAATTGGGAGTGGTTGAGGTTGATGTAGATGCAAAGAGTTGATGGAAATAGGAACAAAGATCAAGAGACAATTACAAGTCAATTGCTGTGTTGGGCAAATTACTTTTTCAAAAACTAAAACAATACCTTCCTTCCACCTACTTCAATTGGTTCTTAGACTTCAAGACTGAGATTGTGATGCATGGTAATCTTCTCACTCATAGAGTGCCCAATTTTCTTTCCCTTTAGTTTACCTTTGGACTTTTTGATCATGCCTTGAGTGACCATAAAAAGTTTCCTACTCTCTATCAGATGGCACCAAAAGACACATCATTAGCCATTGCCATGGTCTCATTACTGCTTCACTTCAGCTGGAGTTGGGTGGGACTGTTGACCTCACAAGATGAGACTGGTCCATCCTTTCTTGCTGAATTGAAAGAAGAGATGGCCAAGAACAAAATATGTGTAGCCTATGAGCTAATGATCTCAACCCAAGATATGTCAAATGTATTCAGATTCATGTCAGTTCATAATGAGATAAATCTATCTTCAGCAAGAGTACTCATCATATATGGTGATAATGATACACTGATAGCTTTAATGGTATTGATTGAGCAAATTTTTATACATGGAAAAATTTGTATTGTGAACTCTCAGTGGTATTTCACTCTGAAGAAGAAATATTTCATCCTGGGCTCCTTGTATGTACCTCTTATTTTTACACATCATCATGCAGAAGTTTCTGGATTCACAGATTTTGTCAAGGTAGTTAAGCCTTCCAAATACCCAGAAGACATTTTTCTTGCGAGGCTGTGGTTTCTCTCTTTTAATTGCTCTGATTCTGAGTCTGACTGTGTAACATGGGACCATTGTTCTCATGATGCCTCTTTGGATTGGTTACCTGGGCATATTTTTGAAATGACTATGTCTGGAGATAGTTACAATATATACCACACTGTGTATGCTGTGGCCCAGACCCTCCATGAGATGCTTCTTCATCAAACAGAAGTTCAAACAATGGGAAATAGAAAAGAAAAATTGCCTTCCCCTGAGCAGGTAATTTCTTCCATGTTGGAGTACACACACCATGAGCAAAGGCACTTTCTAGAGGGTTTCCTTATTGTATGAAATTAAATTTTTCTGTAAGTATGCATGTGTATTTCTGGATATGTATAGGTATATATGATGTGTATTTATATACACAAATATTTGTATATTTATGTTTGTATACATCTGTCATACATCACTTGGTTGCTGAAATTAATGAATATTTCACTATTTGAAACATTTTTCTCAACTCTTAAGCTTTTTCCTTTCTATTATCAGAAAACACTATAAACACAAAATTGAACAAATATAGATTCACTTTTAAAAATCAAACATTTCAGGTCTTTTTCAAAAACCTATATGATTCTTTATGTTCCAATTTCTTTGACATACATAGACATGTATGGATATGCTGTTAAGAAACAAAGTCCAGTAACAAGGATAAAATATATTACATATTGCTATAAATTAATTTTGGCCAGTGCAGGGACTTGAACATAGTGCCTAGGCTATGTTGCTGAGTCTGTTTGTGCTCAGAGTTAGTACTCAACCATTTGAACATAGCATTTCTCCTGGATTTTTCTGAATTGTTTATTGGAGACTTCTGAATTGTTTATTGGAGGCATGTTTCTCACTAAATTTTCTGCTCAGGCTGGCTTCCAAGCAGGATCCTCTGATCTGAACCACCTGCATAGCTATGATTATATCTATAAGTCACCAGCAACTTGCTCAGGAATTCTTTTAGCTACTAATAACTTCAACATATTTATAGCTAGTGTTTTGAACTGCAAAATGAGCTTTTCCCTACGAGTTTTTTCAGTCATAGCAAAGGATGACCTACTGAACAGAATTATCTATATTTTTCATGTGACCAAGTTTCATTCAACTTTTGGTATTGAACATTTAGCAAACTCAAACTATACACAGTCAAAAAATAGTGGTTGTGGCAAAATGGATTAAAATGATTTCTCTGGAAAAAAGTCATTCTAATCCTTTTCTGAGTAATCAGGAAAGATTCTTTTTCAAAATGATTATTTTTTTCCTCCATAGAATTTCTTCTGAGATACTTGATTAGATGTCTCTACACTTTTTGAATTCAGAATGAAGAGTGTTTCTTACCTCAGGTTTTTTGTCTTAACTCTGTGATTTACTTCACCACAGATGATGTCTCTTTTTTAGTTGCACATGTTCCTGAAGAGCATCCAGTTTTACAATTCTACTAGAGATCAAGTGATATCGGATGAGAAAAGGAAATTGGAGCCAGAGTATGACATTGTCAATATTTGGAATTTTCCAGAAGGTCTGGAACTTGCAGTGAGAATAGGGAAGTTTTCTCCATCTGCTCCACATGGCAATCAACTGTCTTTATCTGAAGATATGGTAGAGTGGGCCATTGAAACTACAATGGTGAGTTGGATCTAATCTAATAATTTTAAGGACAGAAATCTGCATGAGTCACACTTTAAATTTATACCTGGATGAGTGTCAACAAATTTCTCCTATAATCCTAACCACTAATACAGCTGAGATAGAAAAATATCATAGTTCAAAGTCAGCTTACACAGGAAATTCTGTGAGACTCTTATCATCAATTAACCTCCAAAAATCTGTAGGTAGAACTGTGACTAAGGTAGTAGAGTTCTATGAGCAAATGTAGTTCAAGTCTGGTGCCCAGGCCTTGATTTCAAGCCTCAGGATTAGAACCAAAATAGTTAATGGTGCTCCTAAATGTTAATTTTGAATTTTGTCATTAGATGTAAATTAAATTTATCTCAGTAGGTATCTAACACTGTGATCAAGTATCTGAGGAATTAATTCATGTAGCTGAAAGGTATCTTTTGCTCACTTCTGGTTAATTGACATGCTACTTAAACATTTTTGGTTAGAGGAATCATTGAAGACACCTGGGACAAATTTTCCATGGTTCCATGTCATGACCACTGGGAAAAAAAATGAAAGAAACTATGCTCCGGGGGATCACATAACTGTATAAAGTGGAGGTATATTTCTTGCTCTTTCCCATGTCACAGAAGAGTAAGAGAAAGCATATAATGACATGAATTCAAGAAAATCCCATAAGGATGTGTACTAGAAATTACTTTCTTACCACTACTTTCCACCTTTTATAAATCTCATGCTTTCCAGTAGTTCAACAGGCTAAAAGTCAAGATTGAAGCACACAGACTTTGGAAGTCATGAAATAGGGAATCCCTAACAGAATACAATAAATCAGCTGCACTTACCTGCTTAAAACATTATGCTTAAACATCCCATTTTAAAACAATGTATTGTTGTAGTATCTGGTATGAGTCTGAACTGTTATTGACACATCCCTTCCTTCCTCAGACTCCTCAATCTGTCTGCAGTGAGAGTTGTAGTCCTGGATTCAGGAAATCTCCTCAGGAGGGAAAGGCTGCCTGTTGCTTTGATTGTACACCTTGCCCACAAAATGAGATTGCTAATGGGACAGGTGAGTCCATGACTTATAAAGAAATCCTTTCTCTCTCCCTGGTTTTCCTCAATCTGGACATGTCAATTCAAAAACTGTGTATTAGGATTACAGAGCCCATTCCCCTTTTCTCTGTTAATAACTAAATTCTGACAAGTGGTGATATTTCTAATGGTAATATTATAGAACATGGCTTTGAATTACATATTTAGAAAGACTTTCTAGTCTATTGCATACAAAGTTATCTCCAGGAATCCTTCGCATCACTAATCATTAGGACCAGTCTAAATTCTAACATAAAATTAAACATAAGTCCTATAAGGAATGCATTCATCTGAAAACTTGCATTTTTCTCAAACAAAAAACTTGGATGTTGCTTGTCTTTATTTCTCAGTGCTCAGAGCTCTTTGAGCACAGGGCAAGGGCTCAGTAAGGTAGATTCACTTTAAGAAGTGAGCATGACTCTAGATTCCAAGATTGATCAATCTGTGAAAATAAGAAGGATAGGAAGAACACAGGTGGCACAGCCTACAAGAAGGTGGAATGCATGACAGGAAGTACCCCAAAGCTCTCAGTCATAGCTCTCAATATTAATGGACTTAACTCTCCAATTAAGCGACATAGACTTTCTAGTTGAATTAAAAACCAAGATCCTTCTACATTCTGCCTGTAAGAGACATATCTTGCCCACAAAAACAAACATATTCTGAAAGTGAAAGGCTGGAATAATATCTACCAAGCAAACGGCCCCCACAAACGGGGGTGGGCATTTGCAATCTCAATATCAGTTAAAACAGACTTCAAATTAAAATTAGCGAAATGAAATAAAGGAGGTCATTACATACTAATTAAGGGATCTCTCCTTCAGGAGGTTCTTACCATTCTAAAGATCTATTCACAAAATAAAGGAGCACCTAATTTATCCAAGAAACATTACTTTCCTTAAAATCACACATAGATCCAAAGGCTTACAGAATAGGGGCTTTAACACACCATTATCCATGCTGGATAGGTCAACCCAGCAAAAACTCAACAGAGAAATCTCAGACATAAACAACTGCATAGATCAATTTGACTTAACAGGTATCTACCAAATATTTAACTCAGGAGCATCAGAATATGCATTCTTTTCAACAACACATGGAACATTCTCCAAAATAGACAACATTTTTGGTCACAAAGCAAGTTTGTCCAAATTCAAAAACACTGAGATTATGCTCTGCATTCACTCAGACCACAAGGGAATAAAAATTAGAATTCAACACCAATAGCCACCAGAGAAAATTCTGTAATACATGGTGGCTGAATCACACACTACTGAATTACCAGTGGGTCATAGAAGAGACTGTAAAGAAAATTCAAATATTCAGGATACTCAGCAAAAATGAACACACAAATTACCAGCTCCTCTGGATCACAGCAAAGACAGTACTCAGAGGCAAGTGTATAGCTCTTAGTTCCTACGTCAACAAATTAGAAAGATCTGAAACCAACAATTTAACAAGGCACCTGAAACTCCTTTAAAATGAGCAACAAGCTAAACCCAAATCCAGTAAATAAAAAGAAGTAATTACAATTAAATTAAATAAATTAGAGTCCAAAAAACAAAGTAAGAATCAACAAAATAAAGGGTTGGTTCTTCAAAAAAAATTATCAGAATTGACAGACCCTTGGCAAAGCTTATTACAAAAAGAAGAGAACACACCCATATGAACAAATGCAGAGATGAGAATGTTAACATCACCACATAAACAAGATTCAGACCATTATAAGGGAATACTTCTCAAAACTTTATGCTAATAAGCTTGAGAATCTGGAAGAAATGGATGAATTCTTAGGAAATATTGGCATACCCAAACTAAATCAAGATGAGTTAAAGCAACTGAACAGACCCATACCAAGCATAGAAATATAAACAGCAATAAGTGAATTTCCACATAAGAAAAAAACAGGACTGGATGGATTTACAGCTGAATTCTAGGCCTTCAAAACAGAACTGACACGAATCCTCCTCCAAAACTTCAATGAAATTGAAAGTGAACGTTCACTACCAAATTCTTTCTATGAACCCATCATAACCTTCATCCCAAAACCAAGTAGGTACTCATCAATGACAGAGAAGTATACACTCATTTCTTTGATGAACACTGATGTAAGACTTCTCAAAAAAAATTTGGCCAATCAACTTCAGCAACTTGTCAAAAAAATCATACACCATAATCAAACAGGATAAATTTCATGGATGCAAACCTGGTTCAATATATGGAAATCAATTAGTATAATTCATCACATCAAAAAGAGCAAGGATAAGAATAACATGCTTATCTCAATAGATGCAGAAAAAGTATTCAACAGGATCTAACACCACTTAATGATGAAAGCACTGGAAAAAATAAGAATCCATGGAACATTCCTCAATATAATAAAGCCTGTATGTGACAAACCTACAGAAAGCATTACAATTAGGAGTGAGAAGCTAAAGCCATTTCATCTAAATTAAAGAAGGAAACAAGGATGTCCACTCTCTACTTCTGTTAAAGTTAGAATACCTAGCAAGAACAATAAGACAACATGTAAACATAAAGGGGATCCAAACAGGGAAAGAATAAGTAAAACTCTCCCACTTTGCAGATGACATGATCTTGTATTTATTTATTTATTTTTATTTATTTTATTTTATTTGTAAACATACTGTACAGAGGGGTTACAATTACATGGGCAGGATAATGCGTACATTACTTACCAAGAATTGCAGCCTCCTGAAAACATTACAGGATGGAATAGGAGAAACCCTAGGTCTCCTTGGCTCAGGTCGAAATTTTCTGAATAGAGACCCGGAAACACAACAAATCAAAAAAAGGTTGGACAAATGGGATTGCATAAAGTTGCAGAGCTTCTGCAGGGCAAACGACATAGCTAGCAAGATCAATAGAAAGCCCATGGATTG